TTTCAATTTCTGTGCAACAAGCACAGAGCACCATCATTTCAATGCACAAAACCCACAAAGATGACATCCATTGATAAGACATTAGTTTAAAAGCTAAGCAGAGGTTTTAAGTTCCAAGAGCAATATGTCCCAGGACATAACTCAAATACACCTATCAGGAAACATTTTCATTGTGCATAGCAACTGGAAAAACTGTTCAAATGCACATTTGCAAAGACCCTAACAACCCAAGGAAAACATTTTCCACTTTTTATTTTTAAAGCACCCAGGTGTTTCTGTATTGTAAAAGCCTCAAGGATAACTTCCGACATTGCAAATGCCCTGGGGATGGACACTGAAAGATTACTGATTTTTTTTTAAAGCAGCTCCTACAGGTGGATCATTCATTGTCCCTATGAAGTAATGCAGTACGAAAATAAGCAGGCTCAAGCCATGCTCAGATAAATTCACGGATATCTGATGCACAATGGGCTAATTACTGGGAAGAGACCCGAATTCATTCTTAACTTTTTGGGGTCAACTTTAGGAAGCAGTATGGAGTTACAGCAAAGGGATTAAGGACCTGGAGGCTAGCAAACTATCCTTAGCTCTACCTATTAACGATGTGACCTTTGGCAAGTAGTTTCACCTCTCTGTGCCTCAGTTTATTATCTATAAAATGAGTGGGTTGAACTTTACCACAAAACCCTTCCAGCTCTAAAATTTGATGAAACAACTTAACGGAGGACAAATACAATGCGTTCTGCAAACTGTTTCTTTGAAGCCTTAAAAACCACCAAGAACTACACGGCTCCGGCATCTCCAATTAATTCTGGGCCAATTCTCTATGTGTCTGGTGCACAACCGACCGACTCCTTACTTGCCTTGCACCGTTTCTATTTCACTGGGCATTCAAATCCATGGATCTCATCTATGGTTTGCGAGGCTGAGCAGATAATACCCTCATTTACACAAGAAACTTAGGCTTAGGTCTTAAACGTCCTGTTTAAAGTCTCATTCGGTAAATGATAAAGTCTACTTGACCTCATTGCTCTAAAAAGGGGGGTGGGGAATGGGGATGGCGGGGAGGCGGCGACGGCCAGTTGTTCTGGGATCCCTGAACAGCAAACGCTCCCCGGAAAAGGCCTCAGGCCGACTACTGGGTTCAAATCTCTTGAAGGTCACGTCGGCATGGCTGAACCAATTCCTCCGCTTGCAAGACTCAGGGTTCGGAGTCTGCCAATTTGGAATTCACGCGACTATGTGTTAAGTTTCTCGGGGGACGCGAGGGTAGAGGGCTGCAACGCACAGAGAGCCTAAGGCGCCAGGCCCTTGGACTTGGAGGCTGCCTGGAATGGGTCAATCACCTGGGAGCCGGTTCCTCTGCCTCGGGCTTCGGACGCACACGGTCCGCACCAAGGGCACCAGCTTCTGCTTCAAAGCACCCGCCGCCAGGCCTCCACACCGGAACATTTCGGCGACCGCTATTCGGGTCCTCCTCCTTCCCTTTCCTCTCACGCACAACCGACGGGTCAAACACCGCGAGCCCCGGCCAGCTCCCCCTGTCTCTTCACACGCACACTACGCAGACTCCTCCTCCCAGCTCCGGGTGGGCATTGGACAGAGAAGCCGGCCTGCTAGAGCCGGGGAAGGGAAACGGCGACCGGAGGCCTACTGCGCAGGCGTAGCACTCGCTACCGCATTGCGATTGGTCCGCACGGCGAGAGGATTTGCGCATGCACTACCTGACTGCACGCTAGCAAAGACCTTGGCTCTAGGTAGCCAGTATTCGCGAGTTAGTGGCACGGTGTTGGACTGAACGAGTTAAGGAAGCTGTCCAAGGAGGGACTCGTGGGGCCGCTTTGATTGGCCGGTTGTGCCTGGTGCTGTCGCTGTGTTGGTGACAGGAACTGATAACAGCATCTCACAGCAGCGTAGCCCCAGCACCGCACTTTGTTTTTTGGTTTTAGGCCACTAGTTACTTGATACTGAAGCCTTCCTGATTCTTTTGCTATGATCCAGATCCAATTTTTCCATGAGTCCGAGGCGCGGAACCTGGCTTCCCAGATCCGGCGTGTACTGCCATCTTTTACCAGTTGCCTGCTCTTTCCCACCCAACCCGTTTCGCGGACGAGTAATTCGGCGCTCTCCTTCCCGCCTGTCACCTTTATTTTTTAGTGCAGTTGTGTGTCCTAGATGCTGTACCAGGTGCTACAGATACACACGGTCTCCTGCTGTGGTTTCAGGATGCTTGAGAGCAGGATGTTAGCAAAAAGCGTTTGTGCTTCTCAGACTTTATGGGAAGAGAAGTCTTCTAAGCAGAACTTTCAGTTATGGGAGTAGGGTGAGGGGCTGAGTATAAATAGGTGTTTTGACTCTGCCAGATATAAGCTAAATTGGAAATAATGTTTTGGCTGCATGCAGAGCATGAAATGTGCCTGTTTCAAATATTCAACTTACATATTCATTTAACAAGTATTTATTGAGCATTTGCCTCTTGGATTGTACTATAAAAGGGGCTCTAGTGGGTATGAAAAGTACGGATGGTCCCCGACTTACCCCTCACAATGGTTCAACTTAACAATTTTTCGACTTTATGATGGGTTTAATGAGACCTAACCCCATGTAAGTCGAGGAGCATCTGGATTTAACCTTGGTTCAACTTACGTTTTTTCGACTTTATGATGGGTTTGTCAGGGTATTAAATACAGTTTTGACTTAAGATATTTTCAATTTACAATGGGTTTATTTGGACGTAGCATCTGTATAGGAAGTGGCCACTGTCTAGTTGGGGAGATGACATACACCAGTCATTGAAATTAATATCCGGTGTCGTGCTGGACAGAGCAAGAGAGAAGACTATGGGATGGAATCGCTATGGAAGAACTTCATACAAGAAGTTATTTGAGCTGTATCTTGAAGGATGAGTAGTAAAATTCAAATCGTGGAGGAAAAGGAATGATATTTCAGATGATGAGTACTTTGGGACATTTTTCATTGTTAAACATGTTGACCTTGGATCCAGACCAACCCAGATTGAATCATGGCTCTGCCACCTGGGCAAGTCACTTAATTGTGCCTCATTTTCCTCATCTACCAATCTCATGAGGGTGTTCGGAAGACTAAATGAGCTAATATTTGTAAAGTGTCATAGAGGAAGCACCATGCTGTTTGTTAAATGAAAAGGCTTGGAAGTGTTTAAGAAAAAACAAACCCCAGCACATTTTCAGGGGACATCATACTAAGAAGTATTGATGTGGTCAGGCTCCGTGGCTCATGCCTGTAATCCCAGCACTTTGGGAGGCCTAGGCAGGTGGATCACTTTAGGTCAGGAGTTTAAGAACAGCCTGGCCAACGTGGTGAAACCCCGTCTCTACAAAAAATCCAAAAATTAGCCTGGCGCCATGGCGTGCACCTGTAATCCCAGCTACTAGGAAGACTGAGGCAGGAGAATCGCTTGAACCTGAGAGGTGGAGGCTGCAGTGAGCCGAGACTGTGCCACTGCACTCCAGCCTGGGTGATGGAGCAAGACTGTCTCCAAAAAGAAAAAAAAAAAAAGAAAAAGAAGCAGTGATAAGCACAGGCAAGTATGGTGGGGCCAGATTTGAACTGGGAAAAGAGTTTGGCCCTAACTTTGCAGGTAATGAAGTTACTTATTTTATTTTATTTATTTATTTTGGTGGGATGGGGATAAAGAATGAAATTACAGGGCCGGGTGCAGTGGCTCATGCCTGTAATCCCAGTACTTTGGGAGGACGAGTGGGAAGATTGTTTGAGACCAGGAGTTCCAGACCAGCCTGCGCACATAATAAGACCTCATCTCTAACATTTTTTTTTTTTTTTTAAATTTGCCAGACGTGGTAGTATGTGCCTGTGGTTCTAGCTACTCAGGAAGCTGAGATGGGAGGATCACTTGAGCCCAGGAGACTGAGACTGCAGTGAGCAGTGATTGCTCCCGTTCACTCCAGCCTGGATGACAGAGCAAGGCCCTATTTCAAAAAAGAAAAAGAGATAATTTTTTTTTTCTTCTTGAGACAGTCTCCCTTTGTCACCCAGGCTGGAGTGCAGTGGCAGATCTCGGCTCACTGCAACTTCTGCCCCCCAGGTTCAAGCAATTCTCCTGCCTCAGCCTCCCGAGTAGCTGGGATTACAGGCGCATGCCACCATGCCCAGCTAATTTTTGTCTTTTTAGTAGACACAGGGTTCTACCATGTTGTCCAGGCTGGTCTTGAACTCCTGACCTCAAGTGATCCACCCACCTCAGCCTCCCAAAGTGCTGGGATTACAGGCATGAGCCACCTCGCCCGGCCTACAAAGACATTCTTTTATGAAGTTTAACCAAGGAAGCAGTTTTGTTTTTTGGTTTTCTTTAGGAGACAGTCTCATTATGTTGCCCAGGCTGGTCTTGAACTCCGGGGCTCAAGCAATCTTGCCACCTCAGCCTCTCAAAGTGTTGGGATTACACGTGTGAGCCACTGTGCCAGGCCTAGGAAGTAGTCTTTATTGGGTGAAAATGATCCAGGGTTCCCTTACCCATTAAGCAGAGTAGATCAGTGTTCAGAAGTGCAGGCAATGGGTGACATTTTATCTAGAGCTCCTTTGGATAAATATTGAAAATATGGTCAGGCACTGTGGCTCATGCCTGTAATCCCAGCACTTTGGGAGGCCGAGGAGGGTGGATCACTTTAGGCCAGGAGATAAATATTGAAAATATCAATTCCAGAGTAACGTAAAAATTATTTATATTTACTTAATATTTTAACAGCCTTGCAGACATTGATTTTTATTGATATTTCTAAAAACCAGTGATCATGGATTGATTAAATACAAAGTTAATTATATCTGATTGCGAAAGGGACTGGAAAACACTGTCAAAATCATGATAATCAGGTACCTATGAAAACAACTGCATGTATTTGAAAGTCAGTAATTTAATAATGCACAATTGACACAAAGGGCATTATATAGTACGTTTAATTTTTTTACAATAGGTACAATACGGTAGTTTTCCTGTCCTTTTAATTAAAAATTATATTTTTATCTTTTTTTTTTTTTTGCAAAAGCAATATATACTCATTGAATTAATTCCAAACAATATAAGTGGAAGTCCCCCAAAGTCTCACCCCACAGAAGTAACAGACACCTTTTATTAGGGCAAGAAGCCCATTTTGAGATATCATATTTTCAGAAATCAAAGTTTCTTCCTTACAAAAGTAGACTCAGTGACAAGTTTTTGCTAGAAGCATACATTGAAATAATCTTATTATGTACATATGTTTATTTTTTTATATGTCTCAGGAAGTTGGCATTCTAGCTGTGGGTTGGCAAAGGGCAAAGCCCCTTTCTACTTTGTGTACAGGATGTGCCTAATTAATAGTTACCCCTCTCCGCCTTAAAGCTATGCTGTAGATAAAGATCATCAGGAGCATTAGCTTCCAATACAGAGGGGAACGATCCAGCAAACCAAAACCAAAGATACTGTACAATGATGATTGATACATAATACAATGAAAACTGGTATTCATAAGGATGATTTTGGATTAGCCAACTAAGATTAAATCCTTATCTGGGTAGTTTTAATGCTGAGTAGTATAATCTAGGGTTTTAGGAATGGGCGACCTGCATATATGATATAGCTGTAAATATATCTGCTAGCTCAGCTTATAAACTTATTAACTGGAAGACGCCATTCTGAGTAACTTGGACGTCCTTGAGTAGTTACATTCCAGTTTGCCCTCAGATATATCACTTATGCACTAAACTGTTTTTCTCTCAGCAGAAATGGATTTGGTCATATTTGTCTCTTCCTGCAGCTCAGCCTCCCAAATAAGATGGCAGCTCAACTGTGATGCTTGAATCCCTGACCTTGATCGCATTAGCAATAACTCACAAGTCAGTGCTAGTGACATGTGTCAGTGTTACCTTAGCTTATGAAATATGTAGGGGGAGAGATGAAGTCTTAAAAATAAATGGGTGCACTTTATCATATGTAAATTGTACCCCCAATAAAGTCGATTTCAAACAAATTCTGAATCTGCGGATGACTTTAGGGAGAGGGAATACTGGTCTTGACCAAGATGTGTGTGATGATTAGTAAGCTTTGGGAAGCAGCCCCCTAATATTGTAAGGAGATTGTGTTCATTTATCATCTTCCAAGCATAATCTAGGCTTCTGGCAAATTAGACTCAACCACTTTGTTCTACATTCAGCTGCAGGGGGAGTGAACCCTCCTAGGGATTCCCAACTCCCTCTGAAACTCCACCCTTCTGGAAGGACTTACGGTTATATGGAGGGCTTGGGAGTGGAAGGCACTGTGGAGCTTATGTTATGTCCCAAGATCCTCCACCTGGGCCAGTAATGGCTAGCCCCATAAACAAAGTCCCCTTTTGCTGGAACTGCCACCACTAGCTTCCCCCCTTCTCCTAGCCTCTGTGTGGCCCTCTCCCGCGGCGAGCCTTCCCCATTGGCCAGCCAAACACAACCGACTGCGGCAGCCAATAGGAGCCGCTCTCCTGAACATTCAGAGGATGGGTGCTCGTGGTGTGATGAGGGGATGTTGGCGCCTGGTACGCGCCCCCCTACATCTGGCAAGTCTGTGACAGAAACAGTAACACCCCCTAAACACGCACACGCGCGCCCGCTGGCTCCCTCCTCTCAACTGTGCAGGCCCGGGACAACCCACTGCGTGTCTTGGCAGCGCCCTCTCAGGCTGCCTGGGGCCCGTGAGTGCACCTGCTCACTCAATAAGACAGAATATCCCTTTATCCCAAGGCGCGGGTCGGGTAGAGGGTGGGGGTAGAGGGGACGGGGTAGCGGGGACCGGGAAGGCGCGGCTCAGCTGCCGGCTGCTCCCGAAGTGAAAGAGGTGCCTTAGCCCCCACCCCATCCCTGCAGAGTTGCGTTGCTCCAGGGAGGCCGAAGTGATCCAGTGATGCCTTAGGGTGCAGCTCTTTGTCCTCCCCAGCTGCGCTCCCTGCCCGCTGATCCCGTGCGCTCCGAGCCAGTGGGGGTGGGGAGCCCGAAACCTATAACATAAATGGGGGCAAGGAGAAAGAAGTCTATCCCGGGGTGGCGTGTGCTGCTGTCCCCACCCCCTCCCTTTCCTCCTGAGGCTTCTTCCCTCCGGTCGGTCTCGGGGGTGCAGGCAGGGGAGAGTGTGGGCCGAGGCGCGGCGGCGGCTGGAGCAGCGCCGTAGGGTCCTTCGCCAGAGCATCCGGTCCGAGGGCGCACACAGGCAGAAGGCTCGCTGCTCGTCCACTCTCCTCCCTCTCTCCTCCTCTCCCTGGCTTTTGTGTTGGTGCCTCCGAGCTGCAAGGAGGGTGCGCTGGAGGAGGAGGAGGGGGGCCCGGAATGAGAGGCACCCTCTTCACGCGCGCGCGCACACGGTGCCGGCGCACGCACACACGGGCGGACACACACACACGCGCGCACACACACGCGCACAGAGCTCGCTCGCCTCGAGCGCACGAACGTGGACGTTCTCTTTGTGTGGAGCCCTCGAGGGGGGTTGGGGCCCCGGTTCGGTCCGGGGGAGATGGCGCAGCCCATCCTGGGCCATGGGAGCCTGGAGCCCGCCTCGGCCGCTGGCCTGGCGTCCCTGGAGCTTGACTCGTCGCTGGACCAGTACGTGCAGATTCGCATCTTCAAAATCATCGTGATTGGGGACTCCAACGTGGGCAAGACCTGCCTGACCTTCCGCTTCTGCGGGGGTACCTTCCCAGACAAGACTGAAGCCACCATCGGCGTGGACTTCAGGGAGAAGACGGTGGAAATCGAGGGCGAGAAGATCAAGGTGATCCCGGGGGTCAGGTCCAGGAAGGGAGGGACGTGGGAGGGGACCTCGCCCGAGGCATAGCTGTAGCGGTTGTCATCGTCCAGCGTCCCAGCGCGTGGCGGTTTCGCCTCTTGCTGAGCCGAGGATCCTCGGCCCCTCCTCACCCCTTTTCACCTCTCTCAGCGGGGTCCCGTCCCCATATCACTCAGTTTTTTAGGGCGGTCGAGAATGGTTGCATTCTTACCCTTTGCTCCTGCCTGACAGGTCCTGCCAGGAAAAGCGTGTTGGATCCCATCCTTGACCCCTAGCCCGAGCAGCGGCACCTGTGGGCAGAGGGAGGCAGGAGGCATCTCTGGGTCCTAGTCTGTGGGATGGATCCCAAAGCACTTTACACATCCTGATGTCTCTTCTACCGCTTGGGTGCCCATAGGCTGCAAAACCCCACTTCAGCTAAGCCTCAAGTCATTAAAGGGAAGGAAAGGATGGAAATCCATGGAGAATGAAAAAGCTGCTTTATTTTAAATTGCAGTTTATAGTTAAGATTAGGGCTGAGTTGAGATGGGGGTGGAGTGAGGTGGTTCTGGCAGAAAGCCATGAGCCCTTTTAAAGAAATTGAGGCAGGGTCACCAGCCAGCCCTTTGTAATCAACAAAACTTGTTTTTTATTGTAACAGGCCCCCTGGAATGGTATTTTCTTTACTTGTCTGGGGTATCTAATACATGAACTGCTCCTTATTCATTCTGTTGGTATTGTCTTCAGAAGGTCTTTGTAAAAATGCAGTGACTTAACCGAGGGCCAGGGAAATGCTCAATCCTCCCCCTCCATGAGTTTATGTAATAGGCTAAGTGCAAATATTCTTGTCTGACCATTTGTGCTCACCTTTAATTCAGAAAAGGTAGAAACCTGATATGACACGAATATGTCAATGTGCAGGGCATGGAGGGAGGGAGGACATAACAAGGGCAACTTCCTGTGTCAGGGGAGCAGAGGGGGGCCTCTGTAAAGGCAATGGAATCACTGAAGACAACTCTTCTAGGCTCACAGCTGGCCTTTCCTTGAGCGTATGGTTGGACCCTAGACAGAGTCAGGGGTAACAGTAAGCCTCCTTCTTGCTGGTCAAACGGCCAAAGTGACCACAAGGCCCCTCCTCTGAGTGACGTGGAGAGAAGGGCTGAGTAACTGATGAAACACTTGAAACTGTGCAAGACTCTGACTCCTTGATTGTTAAAATGAACATGTTCTAAAAATGGCTTCAGAAACTGGGCCAACACACTAGATGTCAGGAAGATGGACAGCTCAGTACTGATAAGGGAGAGCCCCAGGGTCAGGAAGATAGAACATTATTTTGAAATTGTGATCTTTTTTGCCCCTTGCATTTTGAAGGGGAATTGCTACATTTCCTTTTAAAGTCAAAGGCAGCATCTTGTCTTTGTCCTTTCCTGGGGCTGTTGACATTTGCTTGGTTAAGACTTCCTCTAGTGTGTCTGGCTTCTTTAATGTAAGGCTATACGATTCTAGAATTTCTAAAACATGCCTTTGTAATCCAAAGTAGAAATATCTTTACGGATGGGCTCTTAAACCCTCAAAAACCTAATGCTCTCATTTGCTTAAAATCAAGTGTTACAGTAAGCCAAAGAGTTCCCTGGATTTAAAAGGTGGGAAATAAGCCCATCTGAAATTTAAATGGAAAAAAATGAAGTGTTTGGGAATCTAAAGAAGGAGGGAGGAGGAAGCTAGAAAGTGAGGGATGGGAGATGAACACGAGTGGAAGAGTCACCACCCAGTGGCCTCGGAGGAATTTTTAAACCATTCCTTCTCTTCTAACACCCCAGTACTTAGCCAAACTGGACTTTACAGTCTCTGGCAAAGATTCCAGACTTTTTCCCAGAGGGCAGAGCCTGTGACAGTGTGACTCACTAGAAACAGAACTCAGCACAACACCACGTGCAGATAAGTGCTTAATACAGGCTTTTTTTGGGAAGATGATATTTTCAAGAGGACAAAGCCTTGTGACACTGCTCATGGAGGAGTCCTCTGAGGGCAGATTCTGAAGGAGCTCAGAGCAGCGTGTGAGAGTGGGGAGATGGTGACCCTGCTTCTTGTAAAGCTGCTGCAGTCTCAGGACCAGAGCTGGCAGGCGAGAGACCAGCATGTCTGTGGGAAGATGGCAGGGCCTGGCAGCTAGCACGTGATCTAGATAGGAGAAGATTTGGCCTCACACTCTGGCTAGCCTGAAGTTGTTCAAGGAATACATGCCAAAGCCATGTTTGGAGATGACTGCCAAGGGCTTTGCCCTTTGGGAGAGAGAGAAAAGTCCGGTGTGACAGTCCGAGGTCTGGCCTAGACCATGGCCAGCAATAGAAGGCTTTTGGGCTGTAACATACCAGCCCTTGCAGGAGAGTGGTAGAGAGGTCTCAGCCAGTTCTTCTCAGTCTAAGAGCAACGGTGTGGCCTCTTTTGGGCTGCCTGCCTGTGTCCCGGGGTAGCACATACATGAACCCCTGCTAGGGACAACTGATTTGGTGTAGTTAGAGTCACGCTGTAATTAATTTTCAAGGCCATCCCTAGGGTATTGAAGCCCCATTTGCTGTCTCCAATCATTATGTTCCCCACCCTCACCCCATCAAAGCATTTACAACTGAGTCCTGGTGAACTCAATTGTATGAACACCAAGAAAAGCCTCCAATGAGTAGGCAATAATAATAATAATAATAATAATAACTATGTATTGAATAAACAAAGAGCCCAGGCTAGGCACTTTACATGCATTATCTTATTTGCTCTTCACAGCAGCTTTATCAAATCAGCACTATTGTTATCATTCCCATTTTATAGATAAGGAGACTGAGGCTAAGAGAGATGAAATAACCCAATGGCCTATGGATCTGAGCTTCAGTCTTTGACTCTTGAGCCCAAGCACTTCGCCACCTCACTATCCTGCCTTTCCTGTTACAGGGCCATGATTTCAACCCAGATTCAGAGACCATACCCTTTACCACTGCATTCCACTCTACAGGGGAATATTCAGTCCCTTAGATTGGGGGAGTTTGACAGAGGGAGGTAGAACGTCAGTCAGCCAGTCTTGCTCTTTCTTGTAGGCCAGGGACTTAGGGTTATAGCCCAAGGCCTCAGGAGCCTTTCAGATGCCTCCTTCAATTTGTATTCAGGACACACGGAACTTTTTTTTTTTTAGAGGGAGTTTTACTCTTGTTGCCCAAGCTGGAGTACAATGGCACGATCTCAGCTCACCACAACCTCGGCCTCCCGGGTTCAAGTGATTCTCCTGCCTCAGCCTCCCGAGTAGCTGGGATTACAGGCACCCGCCACCATGCCCAACTAATTTTTATATTTTTAGTGGAGATGGGGTTTCACCATGTTGGCCAGGCTGGTCTCGAACTCCTGACCTCAGGTGATCCACCTGCCTCAGCCTCCCAAAGTGCTGGGATTACAGGTGGGAGCCCTGGGTTTACTTTTTGCACTTTGATTGTCTCAACTCAGGTGTGAAATGCAGAGAATGTTCAGAGATAAAAGAGACGTTACAGATTCTGTAATCCAGTGTCCTCCTCTTGCAGATAGGAAACTGAGACTCAGAGAGGGAAAGTGACTTGCCCAAGATCACACAGGGCCAGACCTAGAACTCAGGTCTCCTAATTCCCCTTCTGGTCTTTCCACACATCATGCTGCCTGGCTTAGAAGAGCACAAAATCCTCTCTCCAGCCTAGCTCCATGGTCCATCCAACCCACAAGGTTGCCTATGACAAGAATTCAGAGGGACATCATAAGAGATAGCTGACAATCTTTCCTGACATTAGCCTAGGAAGGGTGGAGGTATCCCCCAACCCCCAAAGGAAGAGTGGAACTTCCCTTAATGACTGTGATGTGTCTGTCACCTACAGATGTAGCTAAATTTATTGAGTCTGTCTCCTAAATGCATTAGAAAATGCTGAATAGGGGTGTGTGTGTGTAGGGAGGGAGGGTATGTAGTAGAGGGGAGGCTAAGAAACTAATTTTTGAATCATTCTTTGTAAATTTGCATGGAAGCTGCACTTCTGTCTATAATAGTTTGGTTCCTCCCACAGGCTGGGCACTCCCTGTGCCCCAGCCCTGGGGACCAAATAAACTGCAGGTCAGCTGTGGCTAAGGGCAAGTACAGCTCAGGACTGTGAATTTCTGTTCCTCTACTGATCACTGGGGGAAAAAAAAATACCTTCCTGTGTTACATTATCAAGTGGATGGAGGCTGAGCTAAGTGTTCCTTGGAAGCTGCCTGAAATCAGAATGACATCATGTCTTCCTTAGTGCTTCTGAGCTTCTATCTTCTGCCAGTTAGCTTAATGGTTAATTATCCATCAGTGTGAGTTTCTCTGTCTCCCTTGCTGGTTTTTTCTGTGTGTGAGTTTCTCTTTGTCTCTGTCCTCCTTTGCCATTCTCTGTGTCAGCTTTGTGTATAGATCTTAGATGCAGATGGGACAGTCCAGCTAGTTGAAAACAGGTTTCTTTTAAACTTTTCCCATCATCCACTGGGGCATGCTCCAAAGGTTACAGATGTATTTGTCTCCTTTTTTTGCACTTCTACCCTCCCCCATCAGCCTCCAACAAAAGGACATTCATGCCTCATCTATAGAAAGATGCCAGTTATGTTTCCAAGGGAAAAGAAATCCCCCTGTCAGCTAAGAGCACATGCAGGGGGTGGGGGGCTTGCTGAAGCTCACCCAGAAAATAGTTCAGAAGGTTAGATTTCTCTTTGGCAGTTCCCCACGCTGTGCCCCTCCATCCTCCTCTAGCACCTCATCAGTTCGGGCCTGTCCCCGGGCCACCCATGGCATGTTGCCAGCATTCCTCTCTCCTCCCCCCTCCCCACTGGATGGCCTTTAGCTCTGTCTCACCTTCGAGAAGCCAAGCTTTCTATGATTTCCAGGATGAGAAACCAATGGATTCAAGGAACCATACCGACAGAAGAGGGCTTGATGGCCTTTCTGAGACCAGAGCAACAACTAATATTTGCAGAGTGTTTGACAT